TTATTTTTTTACATATCTATTTATTTAAGTAATCTCTACACCCAATATGGGACTTGAACTCAGGAACCCAAGAGCAAAAGTTTGTACGCTCTACTGACTGAGCCAGCAAGGTGTGCCTTGTCCATTGCTTCATTTTGAAGGCAGCTGCCTGGTATCTGACCCAGGGCAGTCACATTACAGCAATTGTGTGTCTGCCATCCTGCAGGCCACAGCCACCTACATGCACACACACACAAACACACACACACACACACACACACACATGAACATACAGTGAAACTACACAGTTTCCAAAGAGCAAACTGTGTTTCTAGTAACAAACCACAGTCTGCCTCTAGGACGTGTGGCCAGGCTCTGCCCCGAGAGAGAAGGTTCGCACGGGAAGTGTTCCTGCCCAGAGCCGGCAGCCAGGCCTCCAGGCTGTTCTCGGCAAGTCCCGACAGGATGCCAGGCGGGCTGGCGGGCAGGAAGAGATGCCTATCCCAACCTCTCCCTGTTGTAATTTACCAAACCCATCTGGGGCTCCTTTGAGTTGTTTTCTGGAAATGCCACATTTCGAGGGTCTCCCCATTAGAAAAGGTCAAGGAGTTCACACAGGCCTTTCATGTTAAGGAACTTGAAAGAAAAGGAAAGGAAAAGCACATTTTCAGCCTTAGCTGCGATGAGGTGGGCCCAGGTCATGAGAACACTTAGAGGGCTTACATGACGTTACACGAAGAGCCAATTAACCTAACAACTTCCGAAGACTATCTAGCTCAGGAGCACCCATTTATTAGAGCGCTTGGAATGTGCCAGGCCTTGCACTAAGCTCTTTCCTAGGATACGGAAATCAGCTCCGTATCACTCCTGCAGCACAAGGCAGCCCTTGGGGGCTGATACCCATTTTACCCAGGAGGAAGCTGAGGCTCAGAGAGGATCAGTGATTTGTGTGGAATCCCCCAGCTCATCAAAGGTAGGGCAGGGATGCAAACTCAGGTCTGCCCAAATCCAAAGCTGGAGCTCCCTTGATCAGACCCTCAACCCTTGTGAGCTCTGACTGTGTCCTACATTCAGCCTCTGAGGACAGCACATGTCCACCTAGCTCATGCGCATGTCGATGAAGCCTCACTAAATCTTCAGGTCTGGGGGCACCTGGATGACTCAGTTAAGTGACTCCAACACTTGGTTTCAGCTCATGTGGTGATCTCCTTGGTCCGGAGATTGAGCCCCAGGTGGAGCTCCCAACTACATACTAGGCATGGAGTGAGCCTGAAGATTCTCTCCCTCTGCCCCTCCCCCCATGTGCACGTGCCCATCATGGGCCTGCGCGCGCACGCACACACACATTCTCTCTCTCAAATAAATAAATAAATCCTTAGCTCTGTTCTGGATTTCATGTGTCCAGAAGGCTCCAGGGCGTCCCTGCAGAAGACTCTGGCCCTCATCCTGAAACTCCCTGGTCACCACTAGAGGGGGAGCCATAGCAGATCCCACTCACCACCCAGTGGAAGAACCCCAGGGCCATTGTTCCCTTATGGGCTCTGAGTCATGCCCAGAGTGGGTAGTGTAGGGTGGACCCAGAGATGGTACAGACTGAGGTCTGACTCAAGGGAAACACTGGGCCCTCCTATCTAGCTAGCAAAGAGCTTGAGCCACCCTATGCAGACCAACCAGAGAGATTCCCCCGTCCTCCTGGTGGTCTCTCCAAGCAACATCAGCCACCCTGAAAGTCAGGCTTCAATTAGTCACAGCTCATTCATCAGCATTTGTCTGCAGAGACCACAAACCAGATAAGAGCACTCCTCTGGAACTTAAAGATCATGATAGAACACTACAGTGTGGTAGTTAGGGTGAGGATTCCAGAGTCAGACTGTCAGGCTTTTGGAATTCTGATACTCTCACTTCCAAGCTGTGAGATCCTGGGTGACTTATTCACCTCTCTAAGCTTTGGTTTCCTCATTTGTGAATGGGGATAATAGTCCCTATGTCACAGAATTGTTAGGATGATTAAATGAAATGATGTGTGTGTGTGAAGCTCTTGATTTGATGCCTGGCACATAGCAATCACTCAGTAATAGGAAGTCATTGTGCAGATGGTAATGATGATGTTGATGATGATGATGATGATGGAATCAGTGTTGGCCAGACAAGGGGCTGCTGCAGAGCCATGCCTGCCTTTTGTGGACAAGCCCAAGCTCCTTTTCCTATCTCTCCAAGCCTTCCAGAGGCTTCCAGGTCCAGATGAAGTTTGCCTCCTCCAGGAAGCCCACCTGACCACTCCAGCCACATTCATCTCACCATATCTGAGCTCCTTCTGCCCATGGTCTGAATAGATTAATAACTAACAAATATAGCTCTAATAACCTCTCTGCCTCTCAAGCAGACAATACCTCCTGGGGAAGAGGAACCCCACCACTGCCTCTCCCCTCTCTACATCCTGAGTCAAGGGTTAGGTACGCAGTAGATTCTCCCTAGCAGGTATCCAAGCTGATTTCAGTGTGGCTGTAGATGTCTGATATTCAGCTTGATTCTCCCTCCCTTATTGCTCCTCCTCCTCACACCCCTGTTCTCCTTGCTTCACCTGCCTCCTCCCCTGGTTCCACCCAGCAGGGCTTGATCCTGTAGGGTAGTGGTTCCCAGACTTTGAGATTTCACAGCCCTATAAAATGTGCAAAGAGATTTGGGAGTGGGGGATTGAGTAGAATGGCCAACTTTTTCTTTTGCCAAATAAGAACATTTAAAAAAAATCAATTTCCACCATTACTTTAGTAAAGAAAGGCTGTTTTTATACCAATAAAGCAGAAAATCCATAATCTCTGATTATAGGCTAATACTTTAGGCTGAAAAAAAAATCCAACCTTATTGAGAAAAACAAACCACCTCACTGTTGCCCTGACTTCTCTGCTTTCTCCATGGACTGGAGAACACAACCCCCACTGTCCTGTGTCTACTCATGGGTGTAGGGACCTTTATCCCAGAGGAGGCTCCTGGTAAGCTGGGATCACCCTGAGACACAAGGGGACCCCCAAAGCCTATGAGTTAGGCAGATCATCTTCCCATTCAGCTTTCCCAGAAGAGGTTCATCCCAAGTCAGATCTTTTTTTTTTAAAGATTTATTCTTATTTATTTATGATAGACATAGAGAAGAGAGAGAGAGAGAGAGAGAGAGAGAGAGAGAGAGGCAGGCAGAGACACAGGCAGAGGGAAGAAACAGGCTCCATGCCTGCCGGGAGCCCAACGCAGGACTGGGGACTCGGGACTCCATCCCCGGACCGCAGCATCGTGCCCTGGGCCAAAGGCAGGCGCGAAACCGCTGAGCCACCCAGGGATCACCCCCCAAGTCAGATCTTATAACCTCAGGGCTGAGGAGGAGGGGGGCATGGGCCCCTCCTCGTGTACCCTCTCCCCTCTCTTTTGGGCTAAGATTTGCTGGATTCGCCCCACCACACACACACACCCACTGTCCAGTGGGGATCAAGTGAGACTCAGCTCACACCCAGAAAAGGAGACTGGGGGAACCTAACGTGCAGGATCTTCTCCACTTCTCCATCGCCAGACTGAGCACTAGTAGCCCTCATCCCCTTTCCCAGCCCCCGGAAGGGAGGAAAAGTGGGCACTCCAGCCGTGAGGTAGGAGGCCGAGCCGCCCCGCTGCGCGGGCGCAGATAGGATCTGAACGCGGAGAAGGACGGCCCTGGCTCTTTGATCCGCAGCCAGCCGGGCTGGGCCTGGACCCGGAGGGGCGGCGCGGCCCTCTTCCGGCCCGGATTTGCGCCGCTGCCAGGGGTCCCTTGGGGCTCTGAGCCGGAGCGGCGTCCAAGACACCCTCCTTTCCAAACACCCTCTGTCCCTGTGCTCTCCGGAGAGCTGGGAACCCTACAGTGACTCCAACCCTGAAACCTGCTGGGGGCTGCTGCGGCTCACTGCACCGCGCTTCTAAGGGACCTGTGTCTTTCCCAGATGCGGTGCTAGAGTCGAGGCCAAGCGTGCTGCGGAGGCCTGCGCGGACACGACTCCGGGTGCCTTGTAAAGGCGATGGAAGCCGGCTCGGGTTCCCGCGCGCTCCTCTGGCTCTAGTAGCGCCGGCAGCCTGGATCTTGCCGGAGTCCGCGGGTGTCAGGCTCAGCGTCAGTTGGCTCCATGCGAATGCGACTTCCCGTGTAGAGTTGCTTCTGACGACCCACCCCTCGTCGGAATCCCGCGGCCCACGTGGCTGCCCAAAGGCTCGCATCCCTGGGCCGCATGTTCTGAGTTGGGAGGGTGCTGAGGGCGGTAAAGGATGCGTGGGTGGCTGAAGGGTGGGATCCCTCTTTTCGCGCCCTGGAGATGCCACACGGCCGAGAGGCACGTCACAGACGTGTGATGCATGAGCCCCGCATGCAAACGGGCGCTCAATAAACGTGTGAGGGCAATATGCTTGGGTTGGCGCCGCACGAGGGCAGCCTGGAAGGAGGTCCCAGGCCAGCCTAGGGTTGGAGAACTGAGCGGAGAATGGGGATTTGAGGAGTCCTCACCCTGCCAGCCGGGGTTCGCGCACAGCCTCGACCAGCCTCCAACCTCTAAGAAGTCCCCAGTCTCAAGCCCTCGATGTACTAAGGGCCCGGGGCGCCGACGCATTTACACCTCGGCTTGCCTTCCAGTGCCCTCCTACCCCCGCCCCGCCCCGGGGCCTAGGGGACCCGCTCCCTGTGCCCTCGGGGGAGAAGCCTGGACGCAGAGCGGGAATCTCTTATTGTAGGGGAGGAAGCGGGGTCTTATTGTAGGGGTCTCGTTTATTGGCCCCACATTTCAGAAGAGGGGTGATGCCTTTCAAGCTAGTCGGACGCCTCGCAGTAACGCCGCGGAGAGCGAGCCCTTTAAGACTGTGCGCGAGGCCCTCGCCCCAGCCCCGCGGCGGAGAGGCGGGAGGGGGCGGGGCGGCCAGGCCACGCCCCCGCCGGGCCCGCCCCCGCGCCCCCGCCCCGCCCCCCGCACTCGGCCGGCGGCGCCTTTGATGTTCGGACCCGCCAGCTCCCGGAGCCGCGCAGCCTGGCGCCCGCGCCCCGCGCCCGCAGCCCGCCCAGGCGGAGTCGGCCCGCGCTCCGCCCGCCGCGCTTCGGGCTCGGAGGTCCGGACTCCGGGCTCGCCGCCTGCCGGGCCGGCTCCGCGTCCCGCACCCCCGCGCCCCGCGCCCCGGCGGGCGGAGCGCACGATGCCGCAGCTGGACGCGGGCGGGGGCGGCGCGGGCGGGGGCGACGACCTGGGCGCGCCCGACGAGCTGCTGGCCTTCCAGGACGAGGGCGAGGAGCAGGACGGCAAGAGCCGCGACAGCGCCGCGGGCCCCGAGCGCGACCTGGCCGAGCTCAAGTCGTCGCTGGTCAATGAGTCCGAGGGCGCGGCGGGCGGCGCGGGGGTCCCGGGGGCCGGCGCCGGGGCCCGCGGCGGAGCGGAGGTCGGGGCCGAGGTGAGCGCCGGCCCGCGCCCCGCGCCGCCCCCGGGCGCCCGGGGCCCCCGTCCCCGCGACCCCCCCCGCCCCGGGCCGCTAGCCCGGCGCCCCTCACGGCCCCTCTGGATCTCTCCGCAGGCGCTCGGGCGGGAGCACGCTTCGCAGAGACTTTTCCCCGACAAACTTCCAGAGTCCCTGGAGGACGGTGAGTTTCGGCCCGCGCCGCCCGCCCGGGCTGGGGGCCGGCGGCGGGTGGGGGTGGGGTGGGGTGGGGGTGGGGGCCTCCCCCCGCTCCCCCCTCCCCTCCCCACCCCCCCCCCCCCGCCTCCCGAGGCTGCAGGAGGCGGCAAAGCCCGGGCGGGGGGAGCGGGGGGCGGGTTTCCCGGGCGCCGCCGGCCCGAGTCACTTCCGGTGCCCTGACCTTTATAGGAGTAAACAGACCCCCGCCATCTCCGCCTCCCCTCCTGCCCAGGTGACTGGCTAATCCCCGGTCCTAGAGGAGAAAGCGTTGGCCCAGGTCCCTTGGCCGCAGGGCGGGCTGGGGGTCACGCAGGGGCCGCCGAGGGGAGGCCTGGACCCGGGTCCTTCATCCGAGCTGAGGCTCCCCGGCCCGTGCCTTCCCCGGCCACTCGCTCGAGCGGGACCCCTTGGCAACTCTCCCTCCTCTGGGGAGCGCCGGCCGCGCGCGGCTGACCCCGCTGTGGTTTTTCAGGCCTGAAGGCCCCGGAGTGCGCCAGCGGCATGTACAAAGACACGGTCTACTCCGCCTTCAATCTGCTCATGCACTACCCACCCCCGTCGGGAGCAGGGCAGCACCCCCAGCCTCAGCCTCCGCTGGTAAGTGGCCCCGGCACCCGGCAGCCTTGGGCCTGCCACCTCCTTGACCAGGTAGGGGAGGCGTGGGCAACAAGTGGCTTTCGCCTACAACAAGATAGATACTGGCGTCTCCCCCCCCACCCCCCCACACACCCAGTGGGATCTGAACCGGGAGAACTTTGCTGAAAGTAGGAGAGAGGGCCCCAGGCACCGCTCCTTTCCTCCAGCTGTTGGCTTTTGTCTTCCTAGCTGGCTCACAAGCAGGTGCAGGCCCTGTCCTGGTGCTAGGGAATGCCAGGGTACAGTCTGTTACCAGAGTTTTTTGAGCTGACACCATCCACTCCCTTCCTAAGGATGCTGTTCGCGGTGTGGTCTGAGCTGTGAAGCTTTGCAGTTAGCCTTCGCCCCAAGCCTAGGTGTTTGGAGGAAAGGGCAGAAACACTAGTGTGCTTCAGAGCTCCTGGATGTGGGGGAGAAACCTGCTCTACTTTATTCTTATTGGCACCAGTGCACTCTTGCCAGAGAAAGACCCCGAAAGCAATGTGTAGAGAGTAGGTTTTTCTGAGGCTGGCTTGCTCTCACATGCACCAGGAAAGGTTTGCAGAGGTGTTTGAAATCAGCGGTGTGGGTAAGGGGCCCGTTTAATCATTTTGCTAATTAAATATGTTCAGGCGCTTTGAAAAGATCCCACGGTCTTTATAAACCCTGCTTTTCTCCCTCATTGGCACAGATGATCTAAAGGGCGAAGAGTCTATTCTGAGTGCATTGGGGCAGTACAGCTGCACTTAGAAAAAATTGAGATTAGTGTTTCAGACTGTCCTCAGCTGGCCTAAATCAAGGGGGACTTCAGAGCTCTTAGAGTACACGAAGTGTTTGGAGAACTCTGATGGCTCCAAATGGAGGCCCAGTGCAAGAGAGGCCAGCAGGTAGACGGTTCACGTGGCTAGTTGGGGAGTCTCCCCGAGGGAGGATGGTAACTGCCAGGCTGTCTCAGACAAGGAGTGAGGGGAGTTGGTTCTGAAAGCTGTTTTCATACTGAAGCCGGTGGGAGGTGAGAAGACAGATTGAGGCTTCTCTCTAGAAACCTCAGAATGGAAAACCTGGTAAACTGTTGACTATAGAAATGAGCCCCTTGTCCCTTGGACTCCCCATTTCCTCATAGACAGAAGGAGCATGTTGGCTGAGTAGTTTTTCTGCTCCAGGGTGACTCCATCTATGAGGTGTTTGCTTCTTTCAAGGCTGTGGGTCAGGGGGCTTGCCCTCTGGCCTGGCCACCTGGTGCAGCACCTCTCCCCAGAAACCTCTGCGCTGCAGTAGCAGATGCTTAACACAGATGCTTTTTGGTCCAACTTGGCATAACCCTACACTTCCAAACTGCTGGCAGGTGAGCTGCTTGCACGGAACGCTGGGGTCACTGTGATAGTCAGGACTTGACAAAAGGCCCAGGCCCAAGAACAGTCCCAGGAGGGCAGGCTTCCCTCCATCCTCTTGTGATCTTCACAGTGGTGCAGGGAAAAGGCAGGGTTTCTGCATTCCTTCATGGCCCAGAGAGAATGCCCAGAGTGGGAGGGCCTCGTTCTCTTTAAGGGTGTGGTGATGGGACCATTTGGTGTCCTTAAGCTCACACTGGTCAGAGTGTAGCGAACGGCTGGCTGGAGTGGCCAGCCAGCCGTCAGCATTGGGGGTAGGGGCTGAGGGCAGGCACACCATTGTTCCCCTGGCCTGGGTCGTTTGTTTTTTCAACTTCGGCATCTTTCTCAAGCTACTGTATGTCACACCTTCTCCTATAGAGGTAACCCCCCTTGTCCTACTCCCCACCCAGCTGCAGCCTCCCACTGCCTGGCTTCTGGGAACACAGGAGGAGGAAGGACCAGTTCTGGGGCTGATGTTCGGTGTGCTGGAACCAGCTGTTCTGCAGGGCTGGGGACAGAGACAGAGGCAAGGGCCTAAGTTGGGGTGACAGTGGGTGAGGAAGATGTACATGAATATAGAGGAGCCTCTTTTAAGCAAACCTGATAGTTAAAAATGAATAGCAAATAGGAGTAATTGCTGTTGCGTGGATATTAAAAAATACAGTTGGTTTTAAAAAGCAAAATTGGTTGACTCCAAGTTTTGGGACCACATTTCATTAGAAAAGAAACTCACAGTGGGTCAGGAGTCCATTGTAGGGGCTCTGAGGATAAACTCCTTTTGGAGGTTTCCTCCCAAACTTTGCTTTCCTGAGCCCATCTTCAGGGGACAGAAGACATGCTGCCCAGTTGCTGCCCACGGGCCTTAGAACTAGCCCGCCTGCCCCCACTGCCCTCTGAGAGAATCTAGGCGGTCAACAGTTGTGCTGAAGAGCTTTTAAGGCCAGTCGCTTAACTTCCCCCAGACAGCGGGGAAGGCGCATGTCGGGATCCTCCTCTGCCCACATGTGGGTGGAATGCCCATGTGGCTACCATGTTGGATGCCTCAGAGCAGGCCGACTCAAACCTTGCCAGGGTCAATGGACCAAATGACCACCTCACAGCCATCTGCCAGGGGATAGAGGGAGATTTTTTTTTCCCTTATAAGGGTGCTTCTTTTTGGTACATGGCTTCTAGTGAACTCTGTTTTGGGAAGGAAGAATTAGGTCAAAGTTTATCTTTGATGTTTGTGAGGCATCTAATATAGGCTTGCAGATAGTTCCTGGCCTGGGCCAGTAGCCACTGCTTATCTCTTGTTTTGTTTGCTCTGTTCTGCTCTGAGATTGGGGGTGAGGGTTAGGGTAGAAGGGCCAGTGAGCTGGTCCTGGGCCTGACTTTGAGGAAATTCTAGGATGAGTAAGGCATTGCTCCCTAGGGAAACTCAAATTCTTGGATGTGCTCTAGTGGCCCCTTCTGTGGGTTCCACTTGGAGTCTTTGGCCTGGAAGGTTGCTCTGCCTTTTGCCATTTAGATGAACTGTCCAGAATAGGCAAATCTATGGAGAGGGAATATGGATGAGCAATTGCCAGGGGCTAAGAGAAGAGGGGAATGGGGAGTGATTGCTAATGGGTATGGGGCTTCTTTTTGGGGTGATGGATGTGTTCTGGAACCAGGCAGTGGTGATGGTTGTACAATCTCGTGAATATACTAAAGCCGCTGAATTGTATACTTCATAATAGTGAATTTTATGATGTGCAAATTACATCTCAATTGAAAAAAAAAAAAAAGGCTGAGCCTTTTGGCTCTTGCAGGGACTTGGGGCTGTTCCCCAGTGCCTGACCTCCACAACCGTCCTGGTGTGTGTGCATGCCCCTGAGCCAGGGCCCAGGCATCAGTTTCAGTGTGGGGGATCCCAAATGAGGCGGTGGACCCTTGCTTGAGCTCACATTCCTGGACTCCAAGGTCTGAGATAGATGAGGGCTGTGCTAACGAGCTCTGTGGGAGGCAGGAGGTACAGGTATGAGCAAGACTTGAGCAGAGGAAGGAAGTGCTGCTGACACACGGCCACCATGTCCAGGGAAGCTCTGCAGAGATGCATCCACCCAGCCCTCTGTAGCTTCAGAGAGAGGGAGCAGCCAGGGCTTGCTGGGGAGGGTTAGTGAGGGTTGATCACCAGCCCCGCTTGGAGGGGTCTGGCACCAGGCTGGGCACTGGACAGAGCATGACCAGTCTCTGCCTCTGGGAGTGCCTAGCTGAGTGGAGGAGACAAATGAACAGGCTGGAACTAGGTCCTGGTTGGACAAGTGCAGTCACAGCAGGCCCTGCTGGGGCGTCCTGGTTGGAGCTGGCTCCCATGTGGGCTATGGAGGAGGGTCCGCCGAGCAGCTTCTTGAAAGTATAGAGTTGGCCAGCAGATGAGGACAAAGAGTACCAGAGCTCCCCTGCACACATGCCACATCTCCCACTTCTCTACGTCTAAAACCCAGGCCTCCGCCATCCCTCACCCAGAAGGTAGTAAGGGCCGCCTCTAGGCTCCCTTTTGGCTGCCTTCTTGGCCCCTACCTGAACCCCTGCTCTGACCCCCGATCCAGACTCCACATAGCAGCCCAGCATCAATCAGATCTCTTCTCTTGCGTGCTGAAACCCTGCAGTGGCTTCCCCTTGCTCTTGGAGTAAGCTCCAAACCACTCACCACAGCCCAAGAGCCTGGGTGGCCGGCCCCTGCTGACAGCCCCTCCTCGTTTGTACCATCCTCTTCCTCTCTCCCTGAATAGCAGCTACTGCAGTGTCCCGATCTGTTTTATACTCATCCCATTCTTTTCCACCTCAGGACCTTTGCATTTGTTCTTTTAGTTTGGAATTCTCTTCCCCAGCTCTCATATAGCTGACACCTTCTCCTTTGTCATTCAGTGCTTTATTTTATTTTATTTTTTTTAAAGATTTTATTTATTCATTTATGAGAGAGAGAGAGAGAGAGGCAGAGACCCAGGCAGAGAGAGAAGCAGGCTCCATGCAGGGAGCCTGATGTGGGACTCAATCCCAGGTCTCCAGGATCACGCCCTGGGCTGAAGGCGGTGCTAAACTGCTGAGCCACCGGGGCTGCCCTCATTCAGTGCTTTATTAAAATATCGCTTCCCCAGAGACACCTCCTGTGAACATGAAAGTGTGGCCCTCTGTCATTCCCCCAGGCCTCTGCTGCCTCACCCACCTTGGTGGCTCTCACCACGGTGGGTGGCACTGCTTTATGATGCACTCACTATACTGAGACCAAAGGCTGCCCGTCTGTCAAAAGTATCTCTCTACCTTAGTCTCATTTGTTTATCCAAGTGGTAAGCACCTCCCTACCAGAGTTGGGAGTGTGGATGAGAGGCAGCAGTGCCAGCGAGGTGCCCAGGAAGGTGCCAGCTTGTCCTGGGCTTGGGAGGTGGGGGGTTGGCCATAATTGATCCCTTCTCCCTTGTTCTGGCTTTTTTGAACTTGGTGGTGGCTCAGTGGTAGACCCCACATAGATTCCCATCTGGAGGGTTGTGTCTCTGCTTTGGGCAACTGGAGTCTGGAGGTTTGAACCCTGGGGGCCAGCTCTGGGGCAGGGACACAAGTGTACAGGCCCCTTCCCCCCCTCCTTTTTTTTTT